ATTCTTATCTCTGGAATATTCTGGAAGTTCTATGGGTCATGACCATTTTTAACATCTCGTGTTCCGATTCTCCTGGGGCATATTCCACAGAACAGTGAATATCATTTTTAACTTTTTTCTAGTAGATTTTGTGAATATCTAGTAACTTTTAATTATCCACATTTGCAATATGTTCATGATACGTTATGCAGTCAAAAGATGCTACAAAATGATCTCAACAAATAAAATTAATTATTAAATTTATTTACAAAAAATAGATTATGCACAATTGTAATACAATGAAGTGATTGTTCATATCCGTCCGTACCTCTTAAAAAGCTTTATGCATTGAATTTGCCAATAAAGTTTATAGCAATCACAAATATCCCTGGCATGAGTTGTTGCCCGATTCAATTAACTTATTACTGCATGTTTCTCCGCATTATTTTTCAAATTGGTCTAAATTGATGAAATCTGAGAATACCAAACTATTACTTTTATTGTGTGTTTATATTCTGAATTTGGTTTTGGAATGCATAATCAAATTAATTGTGAGTATTGACCTCACAAACTGTTGTCCACTGCCCATTTATTTGGAAAATGACATTTGTATTCCCAACTTTTGATAGCGTCGTATTTTTTTATTATTTAAATCCGTTCGTACCTCTTAAAAAATTTCATGCCAATTCCTCATATATTTCCTGGCTAATATAGTTTTCAGAGGCAACGATTTACAAAACACGGCCATATCCACATGGTATCTTAGTAACTTTTAATGACCGACATCTATGACAGTATAGAACATTATTTTTTCGACGCTTTTACTATTGCTGGTTGGCATTTGAATTTCAAGTGAACTCGAGAGAATAACTATGTATCTTAGTGAATTAAATTACACTTCAATTGCATTTGCATTATGTTCATGATACTGTATGATGTTGGGGGGATACTACAAAAAGACCTTATTAACAAATATAATTAATTATTAAATGTATTTACAAGATGTATGCTCAATTATAATAGAGACTATGTACAATTATAATACAATGAACGAATTATTCATATCCGTCGTCGATACCTCTTGAAACGCTTTATACAATAATTTTGCCAATCAAGTTTATGGCAATCAGGAATATTTCTCACATGAGGTAGCAAATAAGAGAGGAAAAGTCTATCTACCAATTCCTCATTTACTTCTGAACTAATATACTTTTCCGAGGCAACAACATATGTAGCACTGCCACCTGGTATCTTAGTGACATTTAATGACCCACATCTTTGACAATATAGAGCATAATGTTTTTCCGACATGTTTACTACTGCTGGGTGGAGCTGGTTTTTCAAGAGAACTCGCACCAGTCATTTTTTTGGTACACAATGTCGTAAGCTGTTTAACCAACAGATTTAAATGTTGTTTCTCCGGTTCAATTGATTTCTTGCATATTTTGCATTGATTAAATCTGAAAATACAAAATTATTATTGTTATTGCGTGTTTATATTCTGAATTTGGTTTTGGAATGCATAATCGAATTAATTATGAGTATTAACCTCAAACTGTTGTCCACTGTCCATTTACGTAACGATACTAATGCAGAATTGAAAGTTTCTAGTGTCTTGATTACATTGTTAATCATTATACTAAACAGAATTGTATTCAAAACAGCATCGGGGAGGAGGATCCGACAGATTCTTCAAACGTCAGTTCGCGATCGAGTCAGATATGATAGTTACTAACTTTAAATTAATATTAAATACAGAACTTGGTAATATCATGGGGGCGGCATTTGTATCCTCCTTCAATCTCAGTATATGAGCATTTCAGAAACGTGAAAATTTCGGGTATGTTGAGTAAACCTTGGAAAATGACATTTGTATTTCCAACTTTTGATAGCCTAGTGTTTTTTTGTGTTTTGTTTTTTATTATTCAAATCCGTCCGTACCTGTTAAAAAACTGCATGCATTGAATTTACCAATCAGGTTCATTTGAAACAGGAGTATCTCCGACATGAGGTATCAAAGAAAAAAAGAAAAGTCTATTTGACAATTCCTCATCTTTTTCCTGACTAATATACTTTTCAGAGGCAACGATTTACGAAACACGGCCACATCCACATGGTATCTTAGTAACTTTTAATGACCCACATCTATGACAGTTTAGGACACTATTTTTTCGACGCTTTTACTATTGCTGGGTGGCATTTGAATTTCAAGAGAACTCGAGAGAATAACTATGTATCTTAGTGAATTAACTTACACTTCAATTGCATTTGCATTATGTTCATGATACTGTATGATGTCGGGGGACACTACAAAAAGACCTTGTTAACAAATATAATTAATTATTAAATTTATTTACAAGATGTACGTTCAATTATAATACAGACTATGTACAATTATAATACAATGAACGGATTATTTATATCCGTCGTCGATACCTCTTGAAATGCCTTATACATTAATTTTGCCAATCAAGTTTATGGCAATCAGGAATATTTCTCACATGAGGTGGCAAAGAAGAGAGGAAAAGTCTATCTGCCAATTCCTCACGTGAGGTAGCAAATAAGAGAGGAAAAGTCTATCTGCCAATTCCTCATTTACTTCTGAACTAATATACTTTTCAGAGGCAACAACATATGTAACACTGCCACCTGGTATCTTAGTGACATTTAATGACCCACATCTTTGACAATATAGAGCATAATTTTTTTCGACATGTTTACTACTGCTGGGTGGAGTTGGTTTTTCAAGAGAACTTGCACCAGACATTTTTTTGGCACACAATGTCGTAAGCTGTTTAGTGAATTGACTTACACTTCAATTGCATTTGCATTATGTTCATGATACTGAATGATGTTGGGGGATACTACGAAAAGACCTTATTAACAAATATAATTAATTACTAAATTTATTTACAAGATGTATGTTCAATTATATTACAGACTATGTACAATTATAATACAATGAACGGATCATTCATGCTATCATAAGTTATTCCGTCGTCGCCGATACCTCTTAAAAAGCCTCATGCATTTAATTTGCCAATCAAGTTTATGGCAATCAGGAATATTTCTGACATGAGGTAGCAAAGAAGAGGAGGAAAGTCTATCTGCCAATTCCTCATTTCCTTCTGAATTAATATACTTTTCCGAGGCAACAACATATGTAACACTGCCACCTGGTATCTTAGTGACATTTAATGACCCACATCATTGACAATATAGAGCATAATTTTTTTCGACATGTTTACTACTGCTGGATGGAGCTGGTTTTTCAAGAGAACTCGCACCAGACAATTTTTTGGCACACAATGTCGTTAGCTGTTTAACCAACAGGTTTAGCTGTTGTTGCTCAGGTTCAATTGATTTCTTGCATATTTCTTCAGGTCCTTCAATTCGATCTGCATTGATGAAATCTGAAAATACATAATTATTATTGTTATTGCGTATTTTGTTTTGTAATACATAATCAAATTCATTTAGTTACAATAAATGATAAGTACAGTATTGTAAAAATTGTTTGACACTATATACTACTGAGATAAAAAATTAAAGTAACAAAAAGTAACTAAATGTCGAGATGTAGAAAAATGTGTAGATCGACCAAAAGTAAATTTTGTTACCTAATAGATGATGTACACTAGCAGATCCAGAATTTAATTTTGGAGGGGGCTTCAGCCCGAAACCTTTTATTTTCATGAAAATGACGATAATTACTTTGGAAAAACAGAAAGAAACTAACTACCTATATGAAATGGTGTTTAAGTTATTCCTTAAGTACTTTTAAATGTTGTTACACGAACAATAATACTTTAAGAGGTATTTTTTAAATTTTTTTCCCATAAAACATGGTTATATTTTTCCATTTTGGAGGGGCTTCAGCCCGAAAGCCCCTCCCCCTCCCCCCGTAGATCCGCCCGTGATGATGTATGTTACCTACCATTTTCCCTGTGTACAATAATTGTTGACCGGCAGTGCACTGTAAAGGAAGCACTAGGACCACTATATAGTCTTGGCTATTGGATTAGACTACATATATCTCCCACAACTAGTTGGCATTCTGGGGGCACAAACTTGAAACTATTTTTTTTTCCTTAACCTATCATAAAAAAAACTAGGAAAGAACAGGAGAGCTGTATCGGTTACCAAGGATTGTATCTGTTTAAGAGAGCTGTTTCTGTATCTGTTTCAGAAAACTGTCTACGTACCTGTTGTAAGCTGTTTAATGAAAAAGGTTTCTGTATCTGTTTCGGAAAGCTGTTTAATTAAACATATTCAGTGCTTCCCTATTTTACCGTCGGTATAGCTGTCTCCACCTACTAATCCTGTACTGTGAGATTGCTTGGTTCCTAAACTCACGGTTGAGTTCATCTATGAATTCAGCGCTGATCATAAGAACCTGTCCCTGCCTAATGGAAGGTAATCCTTGTATCTGTTTAAGAACAGAAACTGTTTAAATTAAACAGATACCTACTAAACACCCCACCACTAGTTTTAACCAAAGGGTAGGCTGTATTATGTATGGGCGTGAACAAAGTTACCCAATTTTTAATCCAAGGGTGCTGCAAATTTTTTTTAGCGCGGAATGAGTGCCCAAGTATGAAAATTGTTTATAGACAACTAATCTTAATATTACCATCTTCTTCCAATTATTTTAAAATTATCAATATTTACTCTATGGAACCTGTTATCCTTATCATATTTCATTTACACTCTGCCATTAGCGGATCCAGAATTTAGTTTTTTTTGGGGGGGAGGGGCTTCAGCTGGAGATTTTTTTTTTTAAATATATAAGGATAGTTAATTATGAAGAAAAGAAAGAAACTAACTATCTATATGAAATGTACATTTAAAAGATTCTTTAAGTACTATTAAATGAAATTACATGAATAATACTTTTAGAGGTAATTATTAAATATTTATTTCATGAGACCTGGTTATATTTTACCATTTGGAGGGACTTCAGCAAGAAAGCCCTCCTCCCCCACCACATAGATCAGCCTGTGCACTCTGCCACTGTCCCAAATGGCACACAAAAATTGTTATTCATGAAAATTTAATGAAGCTAAGAAGATGGATATGCAGCACTCATATGATATTCAAGTAGTAACACAGAATTATGAATTATTTTCAATGATCAATGGGCATCTGTATGTACCCTTTCAGCCAAATCGCTTACAAAAATGTATTTGACAAGTTTTAATAACAGCATTTACTCTCCCAATTCTTCTTTATTTTTATGAATTTTCAGGATCACATTCTTATCCCATCTTCAGACTAGAAATTGGAATATTTTTGTTATTTATTATTTGAGAGGCCTATGGTTTGGGTCTTGCGGAACTATCCCAAAAAGAACAAGGAGCTTCCTCAAGGAACTAGGTGTCGACATTAAGGATGTAGCGAGGTTGGCTGAAAATATAGTCCTCGACTCCCTGGGAATCATTCACCACCACGTGCATGGCTAGCCCGAGAGTTTTAATTTATGTATTTATTTAATGAATAATTGAAAACAATAGAGATAAAGAGAGAGAAGGGAAACTAAATGTTAAAGGAAAGAAAAAAAAAAGCATAAATAATGAAAGAAGGAAAAGGGGAAAAAATAAAAATAAAAATGTATATATATATATATATATATATATATATATATTTTACTAATATTAAGTAAGACTTCCGTATATTTATATTTAAGTTCATATATTGTCCTAAGGATAGAAGAGTATGCTGTGTGTATAGCAACCCAATATAATTGGGCAGCAATCCTTTATATTTTATGAAAATAAAGTGATTCTCTCTTTTACACTATCATTACAATATTTTTTTTATTTTAACAATAACAGAATTTGCAAAGGTTGCCAGAGTTTTTGGCAAGGTTTCTGAATGAAAACTTAACTACTTCAAGAAGTGTATATAGCTGCGATGAAATTATCATATTATTAGGAGATACAAAATGATTTCCCCCTCTCACCCCCCACCCAAAAAAAAATATAGGAAATTGAATACTGATGTACTATCATTTCCACTTATTATATTATCAATTTTAGCCACATTTTGTAGATCTGGGAGAAAGAAGTATACCTGAGAAATTAATAAGACAGTATGAAAAGAGGAATCATTTTCATAAAAAAAAAAGAATGAGCTACAAATTAAGTACGGTATTATTCCTTGAACAATACTTTCATTATTAAATCAAGTGTGTTAAATATGTACAGAATGTCATAAATTTAAGGGTTCCTCATTCGCAAAAATAGCTATGTATCTTAGTGAATTAACTTACACTTCAATTGCATTTGCATTATGTTCATGATACTGAATGATGTTGGGGGATACTATGAAAAGACCTTATTAGCAAATATAATTAATTATTAAATTTATTTACAAGATGTATGTTCAATTATATTACAGACTATATACAATTATAATACAAAGAACGGATCATTCATGTTATCATATGTTATTCCGTCGTCGTAGATACCTCTTAAAAAGCCTCATGCATTTAATTTGCCAATCAAGTTTATGGCAATCAGGAATATTTCTGACATGAGGTAGCAAAGAAGAGAGGAAAAGTCTATCTGCCAATTCCTCATTTACTTCTGAACTAATATACTTTTCAGAGGCAACAACATATGTAACACTGCCACCTGGTATCTTAGTGACTTTTAATGATCCACATCTTTGACAATATAGAGCATAATTTTTTTCGACATGTGTACTGCTGGGTGGCTTTTGATTCTGAACAGATGTGCTCGCACCTGACAGTTTTTTGGCACACAATGCCGTAAGTTGTTTAACCAACAGGTTTAACTGTTGTTGCTCTGGTTCAAATGATTTCTTGCACATTTCTTCAATTCGATCTGCATTGATGAAATCTGAAAATACAAAATTATTATTGTTAGTGCGTATTTTGTTTTGTAATACATAATCAAATTCATTTAGTTACAGTAAATAATAAGTACAGTATTGTTAAAATTATTTGACACTATCTACTACTGAGATAAAAAATGAAATTAACAAAAAGTAACTAAATGTCGAGATGTAGATCGACCAAAATTAATTTTGTTACCTAACATTTTCCCTGTGTACAATAATTGTTAACAGGCAGTGCACTGTAAAGGAAGCACTAGGGCCACTATATAGTCTTGGCTATTGGATTAGACTACATATATCTCCCACAACTAGTAGCCATTCTGGGGGCACAAAGTTGAAACTTATTTACAATTGAGACAATTTGTTTTAAATCTGACTTACTATGGGAGGGATAAAGTCATTAGGTCACCGATTTTAACCAATTTTTTTTCAGTGATACAAACTGAACTATATTTAGTTGATAGACTGGCCACTTTGTCAACTGCTTCCTGCAGTGCCCGATGCCAAGTCTTTATTTGACCGCACTCTCCAACCAACTCCTTTTTTGGCTTTAAGACTTGTAAAAGCAAGTCCTATTTTGACAGTAAAATATTTTAATTGACATAGTAAGATGAAATTACACTGGATATTTATAGATAGATGTTCACTGAATGTAATTAAATATTGAATGTAACTTATATAGAACTTAAAACAGTAAGACTAATAGTTGAAACTGAGGTGACAGTAGTTTCATAACAATTAAATGAGAATAAGAGGCGACTTCTATTATATAACTGGTTTTATGTCATTCAAAAACTTTATCAAATCACGGGCGTTATCTTAATTCACCAACCGAATTGCAATCCTAAACTAATTCTTCTTCGCTTTTTGAATCTTTTGCACTTGAAGGTAGAGATGGACGTTTCTGCTACTTTTGAAAAACGTAAATGAACTGATCGTTGACAAGAAACAACAGTTCTTAAGAAATGTTAAAAAAAAAAAAAATAGTTCATAGAACAATGCAACGATTTACGGTGTAAGACCTATTCGTTTTAAAACAAATTCAATTCGTTTAATGGCAAGTCTGGAAATGAATGAAATGTTTTATGTATAAAGGTTGGCATTGTTCGAGCTTGAAATAGATAACCTTTTAATTTATTTTTAATACTAGCTGAATGCTTAATCTTAAAAGTTACTATTTAACTAATTAAAACTGAAAATTATTTTTTAAGCATATAACACTTTTTATTTTAATGATATTATAACTTTCTTGTATTAATCCGGTGGTTGTGATTTTGGACAATTTCCTAAATTCTCAAGTAAAGATGGATCTGGTGCTATCGATGAGCTCAGGAATTTTTCATTTTTGAAACAAATTTGTTATAAATGTTTTGCCATATTTCTTTATTAGGTGTTGTTCTTAGTTTGAAATTACACTGCTTGGTCATTATAAGTCTTTTCACTGTAGTTTAAAAATGTTTTCAACTGTTTGCCTTTTTCAATTTTTATAGAACATAATATTGTTTATAATTGTGGATTAATGGTTGACTGCTGTGAATAATTGAAGAGAACAATGCTTTCTATTTATTTATTTTTTTTACCGGTCACCCCAACCATTCTTCCCTTCAATAATAGTATTTAATTTGATTTATGCACTTACATTGATTTATGTGAATATGTTCAATCATAAAAATTATTTTCGGCCGCCAAGACACAAATATATATAGATACATCTAATAACATAAACTAATTTTGCCTACAAACATGCTTAAATTAATTTAGTAATGTATTAACAATAATGAAAGTTTTTATTTATCACTAGCCTTCATTAATAATGAGAGCTAAAAATTACATCTCTAAACAAAACAGTTGAAACATGTCTTGTAAAAAAAAACTGTTGGGTCATTTTAATGATGAACTGATAGGTTAGTTGGAAAACAGAAAGAACTTCTGTTTTATTGGAAAAACGGATCAAAGAACAACTCAACTAGTGGCAAAAGGGTGAACTAAAAAAAAAACTGTTGTTATCCATTTGGAAGAACAGTTCATTCGTTGAGATCAAGACTGTTCTTGTCAAACGTTTGGACCTGTTCTCTCCTCCCCTACTTGAAGACATGTGTCTGGATCTCAAGCAGTGCTGGGCAGTGACCACTCGTAGCTATACCCAATGTAGCTATTTATTAGTTCACCGTGATTATCTAGCCTGGTCAGCTTTACTAGCTGGACATCGAGTGATTTACGAGTCGCACACAATGGACCCAGTGAGTCGTAGAAATGCTGCCAGTCTTTTATTATTTTCCCCTTCACTACTCTTATCAAATCCAATAAAGGAACCTTAGAGTTTATTCGATGTAGTTGGTTTTGATTTGCCAGTAAAATACATAAAATAATAAAATGTCTGCCATTTTATTTCCTGATATTCATAGGTGTAACGTCACCCACTGGAAAAATTAATTGTTGCTGGCGTTGTATATTATTGATACGATTTTAAAGGAAATGTGTATCAGTGTTTTATTTTGTTAGATTAATTTTAGGTGTTTAAATGCAGTTTCTTTGTCTGTCAGAATAACTACTTTTTGGTTTTCGCTGTATATTATGGCATTAAGAATGGCATATAGTTCGGCACTAAAAATACTGAAATCAACTGGTATTGATAATGAAAATTTCTGGTTCTTTCAGGAATCATATACACAGCTACAGATGTTCGGTTAATTATTTTTGATGAGTCTGTATAAATTTGTAATTATATAACTTATAATTAGGATAACGTTCCGTGATTGTGTTCAGTGCTAATTGTTTCAAATAAATTGATGAGTATGAACTTTTCTTCTCTACTTCATCAGCTAGACTAGTGGAGCTGTGAATATTAATTAAAGATTTGTAAATGGGTGTTATGTATATCAGAGGAGCTTCCGAAATGTGTAGTGATTTCATAAGAGGCTGCAATTCGTTAATAATGATGGATAGTAGAGGGACAGAACACGTTTCCACTTCTAATTTCTTTACCTACAGGATGATTATTGGCAGAATACACTCTGAGAATGTATTTTTTTGTTATCCATGACCTTCTGATGTGTAAAGGCATCTCTCCGGCTGAGGCCTGAAGCGCTTTTACTGGAGAAGTTTTAAAAGCACCCAAACATAACCTTATGGCACAGTTTTGTGTTGTATTCAACTTATTAATGAGGGGGAAACCACGTTTACTATTGTAGTAAATGAGTTATAATGTACCAATAATTACAAAACCAAAAAGTGCTTTCAGTAAAGGGTCAGGTATTTTTGGAGAGTATTCAGTAAATTTTTGTTTTGAAAAAGCAAGTTGGATTGGTTTTTAGTGTCCTTTGAAAATCTTAAATACAAATTTTAATAAAAATCAAAAATTGCAAAATTTCATACTTGACTTTTTAAAGTTTTTTTCTATTTTCTGCTGACCGGTAACTAAAGCATTAATAACTTCTCAGGATTTTCTTTAAATTCAACATTAGTATGCCAGCTAGAGAGAAATTGTAATTACTGCTCTTCCAACCTACATCGATAACTTATATATTTCATTCCTTTTTAAACAAGAAATTAAGAAAAAAAAAATTATTTTATACCATTGGCTTTAATTGGTTCACAGAAGTCAGTTTTGTACCATTTTGTGTAGCATATAGAGCTTTATATCTCTAATTATTTTTGTGAAGATCGCTGGAACTGTTCATAATTTATAACACGTGTTATGGTTGTCAACAAAATTACAAAAGGTTCGGCTTGGGCAAAAAGTTTAATTTTTGATTTCTACAAAAAATTGTATTTAAAGAGTTTTTTTGAGATAAAAAAAAACAAATTTCTATTTTGTTTCTCCCTAGAAAAATATTTACTCTAGATAACAACAGACCTGTATTTAATGAATATTAAATTTAGCACATAGCTGCAACATAGATTTAATTAGGGTCAACCGTCATAGCAAATGGAGGAGTTGATATTTATGAGGAAAATATTCTTGCCTAGGCTGGACTCTTCAAAATTTTGTTGGCAACTTCAAAATTTGTGATAACTTTTGCAAGGCTACACCAATCCACACAAAAATTATTAGTGGTACAGGACTCAAAAGTTACAATAAATTACTTAAACAGTTACTACGCAAACAAATCAGAACCAAAATCATAAAATAAAAATGATTGAAGTAAGTTGGAAAGGCAGTAATTAAACTTTCCAAGAGTTGTGCTAATATTCAATTTGGGGAAAATCTTGGGTCTGGTATCAAGAGTAAATAACTAATCTAACTTGCTAATTTAAAACAAAAATTTATTTGACTATTTACCGGAAGCACTTTACGGTTTTGAAATTTATGATACATTTTAACTCATTTAATACTATAGTCAATATATTTTTCTTATTCTTAATAAAAAATTAAATCGAAACATACATAATAACCTAAAAGTTAGGGCAAAGCAAAGGCAATAAATAAACAACATAAAATATGTTCGAAATCATATATAATGTTTTTATCTCGGCTCCCACGGCCCACTTGAACGAACGCCAGGCCCAATATTTTTTGATGTAGAATCACCGAAAAAAATTTGGTTGAAATCGGTGACCCACTGACAGTAGTCTACCCCTGGTTAATTTATTATATAAAAATTTCATGAGACCAGGAAAACTAGTCACCAAAAAAACAGGACATCAATAATGGGCTAAGAGCCGAAACAAACAAAATGATTTAGACAGTTTTAGGAAGTGAAATCCCATTTTCAACAGTCTAAAAAGAGGGCTAAAGGACAGAATTATTAATATTGATTGTCTGTAATAGTTAATGTCACATTTAACAGCCTTTCTTAGGCTGTTGGCAATGACATTTAGCTTGCCTAAAATTGTCTGAATAATTGTGTTTGGTTTAGCATTAAGTCCATTATTAATGTCCAGTCTAAATTTGTTTCTGGTATCTTCAGTAAAACTTAATGAGTTGGCTTAGAAACAAATTGTTTCATATGCATATATTTGCAAATAATATTGGATGTTGAAGAAAAAAAACACAGTAGTTCCAACTTAATGCCCCACGAGTTTACCCACAGGGTATCAACTACTTTTGGAAGACCTAAATAGCCAAATCAATTAGCCAAGAATACATAGGATTCCTAGTGCATCATCCTTTATAGTGCATTGTCAGTTGTCTGATAAAAGGCGAGATGAAATACATTTCTAATAAAATAACAGAATTTCCTTTTGGTTGATATGCTACCCAACATTGCAATAATTAGTTGTTTTATTTTTAGTATCGTGAGAAAGGTACCTCAATAAATTATATATATAAAAAAAAATGGATATCTATCATTGAACAAAAATAGATGTCAATAATTTGAAAGAAGGATGTGAGGGAAAGTAAAGTAGATTTTCAAGTAATATCTTCATTACTTGAATATCTTGTCAGTACTTGAATATCTTCAGTGCTCGAACCAAGCCTTGATGAAGACCCACATGTTTGGGTTAAAACGTCGGCACTAATAAAAACCTTATAATGACCGAGTCCTGAATATTTATCATTCATAATATGTAGAACAGTCGACTAACTTACTTCAATAATACTTTAAAAAGCTAACTTACCATCATTGTTAGGTCTAGCAGTAGTTTCCTGTGCACCATCAACAATTGTTACAGTCATTTCAGCAGCAGCTATACAGCAAACCAACAAAATAAGGTTCAGAGGAAAAAATAAAACATTTTCAGAGTTTATATATTCTACTGAAATATATTGAGAAATAAATGAATCTAACTTGCTACTTTAAAACAAAAATTTATTTGACTATTTACCGGAAGCACTTTACGGTTTTGAAATTTATGATACATTTTAACTCATTTAATACTATAGTCAATATATTTTTCTTATTCTTAATAAAAAATTAAATCGAAACATACATAATAACCTAAAAGTTAGGGCAAAGCAAAGGCAATAAATAAACAACATAAAATATGTTCGAAATCATATATAATGTTTTTATCTCGGCTCCCACGGCCCACTTGAACGAACGCCAGGCCCAATATTTTTTGAAGTAGAATCACTGAAAAAAATTTGGTTGAAATCGGTGACCCACTGACAGTAGTCTACCCCTGGTTAATTTATTATATAAAAATTTCATGAGACCAGGAAAACTAGTCACCAAAAAAACAGAACATCAATAATGGGCTAAGAGCGGAAACAAACAAAATGAGTTAGACAGTTTTAGGAAGTGAAATCCCATTTTCAACAGTCTAAAAAGAGGGCTAAAGGACAGAATTATTAATATTGATCGTCTGTAATAGTTAATGTCACATTTAACAGCCTTTCTTAGGCTGTTGGCAATGACATTTAGCTTGCCTAAAATTGTCTGAATAATTGTGTTTGGTTTAGCATTAAGTCCATTATTAATGTCCAGTCTAAATTTGTTTCTGGTATCTTCAGTAAAACTTAACATTTTTCAATGTTTAACATTCAACAATGTTTATCATTCATAATATGTAGAACAGTCGACTAACTTACTTCAATAATACTTTAAAAAGCTATCTTACCATCATTGTTAGGTCTAGCAGTAGTTTCCTGTGCACCATCAACAATTGTTGCAGTCATTTCAGCAGCAGCTATACAGTAAACCAACAAAATAAGGTTCAGAGGAAAAAATAAAACATTTTCAGAGTTTATATATTCTACTGAAATATATTGAGAAATAAATGAATCATCAAACAATAAAGAAATTAAAAACAACAAGAATAAAGCCTATTAGGTCCAGAACTAGGATTTATTCCAAAAGGGGTAAGCTTGAATTCGTCAAACATTTTCCTCCTGAATAAAATCATAAAGTTTATCACAATATTTAAGGTAACATTTATTACGAAATAAATATTAAAAAATCATAACATAATTTCATTTTATTGTCTGAATCAAGAGGAAAAAACAGAGACAACCGTTTTATTCTATTTATAAATACAATTTTGTTTAGAAGTTAATCCCTTAATTCTGCCACCTTCTCCCCACTACTCTTAGCTTCTCCTTATACCAGCCTTGAAGCCTAAATGGTTGAATCTACCTTAACCACCACCCTCCATTCCAAGCAATAGAGGGAGATACTGCTAACATAATAAGATTAATGGCACAATAACCATTATATTTAATGCAGATAACCATGATTTCATATACATTTTAGACCACAATGTATAAATGAAAAGAAGAAAACAAGAAATATGAAGATCATTAACTTTATTCAACTATATGGATGAAAACATATATACATAATTAGGCTAGTAAAGAAATGAATTATTTCTATGAACGAATTTCGTTGGCATCTTTAGATATCAATACCCTTCAAAAATAATGGAACATAAAATATTAAATATTTAATTATAATAGAAAACAATTATAAACCCATCAATTATTTCATTTAATGAATGAAAGTATTTTATTAGTATACCTAAATTATTGTTATTATAAGCATATTGAATATAAAATACAAATACAAAAGAAAAGAAAGCTGGGGTATAAAAAGACCCCACCAGACCACTATAGACAGCTTTGCTAAAGGTTAAAGAGTTCCTAACTTCTTTCAATAACTAATTTATTGATATAATATTAAATTATATAATGCAGTTCACCTTATAACAAATACTTAAACATACACTTATTAAGGACTAGATACTTACCCAAGGAATCCATGTTGAATGAAGGATGAAGCTTGGGATTATAGTTCCACTTCTTGCCTCAAGAGCGAGAATTGCTACGTTTCTTTAGTGGGGGGGGACTAACCATGGAGAGGGTAACGATCGTATTGTTCTTATTTATCTACTTCCTCTTGCTCTTATTCTTGTATCAGAGTATATAGTTTTTTGACACCCATCCTCAAAACTCTTCGTAATTGGAATAGCAATGCAAGGTTAGATATACCGTTGTGGAGTGGGAAACTTTTGGGCTAAAACCCCCAAAATAGATTGAAAAAATTTTCGTTGGTCCATATCTGTTTCAGTTCGTGATCTGACTTTTTTTTATCTGATCTAAATACTCACAAACAGCACATATACACGTTTTAGGTCGTAACATACATACAGCTACTATAAATGAGCACCGTGTCGAGAACAAAATGTTAAACATTTATCCCTAAAAGCATTGTAATCTCTGTCATTATAATAATTATTATTTTTTACAGGCTTTCAAAGATCACTTAAGCACCATCTTGTAATGATTCCTTCTTTTTCATAAAATAATTACTATTATAAAAAATAAAACAAAATAAATCCTGGATTCGCGACTGCACCGCTGAAAAACTGATGAAATAAAGCGACAATTTTAAAATGCCCAAGATTGTAGCTAGAACACTACAATTGTAAAGAATATTTCTGAAAATCGCCTCTTTTTACGAATTTACTTGTATTGGCTGCTATGGTAGCCTAAAGAAGCGACATTTTACAACAAACTGGTTGCTACATTCAGGATGGTGGAGAGAAACTTGGGGCTCTAGGGATAAATGTCCCCGGACTCCCGTCAAATTTAAAATTCACTACTGAAACCCTATCTCATCCTTTATAATAGAGGCAACAAAAAAATTGTATAAAGAATTTATATAATTATTATATCACATACGTAACGTTATTGACATAGGAGGTATAAAATGGTTCTACTGTAATGGAAGTGTAGGTGCTACTATAGGCATTTATGTACGAAGTGAACCTTAAAGGATAATGAAAACTTATATGAGCTCATCACCTTGTTCGTTTCCAGGTATACCTTAATGGCTCGGAACCCTTTGGAATGTCATTCGGATTCTTATTTCAATGAGATCGCCAATGCTCAATCACTAGCGTCTGTGACATCACCGTCTAGACCATGGCAGATCGCTAGTACGGCGGATTGTCAATCAACAAAGAACACAATCTGGTGATAGATGAGCTCCTTCTCTATTGCAGCAAGCACTGCCGAAATAGCTTTGACTTTCCCATCAAAATTTATTCACCAGCTGGGTCTTAGCCATCGAGTCCTATATGATAGCTATTAGCTACTTAAACTAATATTAACTACAGAACTTGGTAATATCCGATGTAAGAGTGTTTTCCCGAATTTCGTAACAAAAGGATTATTTTTCTTAGACTCTGTGTTCTTGTTTATGTTTATAGAAAACGATGAGCTTGGACTCCAACAATTTTTAAATCTAGCTTTTAAAAGAATTTATTCTATTCTTGTTTATTTTTTCTTCCGAGTAAGGTTTCTTTGGCTTTCAAATGTGTTTTATAATTCTTATCTCTGGAATATTCTGGAAGTTCTATGGGTCATGACTATTTTTAACATCTCGTGTCCCAATTCTCCTGGTGCATATTCCACAGAACAGTGAATATCATTTTTAACTTTTGTCTAGTAGATTTTGTGAATATCTAGTAACTTTTAATTATCCACATTTGCAATATGTTCATGATACATTATGCATTCAAAAGATGCTACAAAATGATCACAACAAATAAAATTAATTATTAAATTTATTTACAAAAAATAGATTATGTACAATTGTAATACAATGAAGTGATTGTTCATATCCACTGCCAATTCCTCATTTACTTCTGAACTAATATACTTTTCCGAGGCAACAACATATGTAACACTGCCACCTGGTATCTTAGTGACATTTAATGACCCACATCTTTGACAATATAGAGCATAATTTTTTTCGACATGTTTACTACTGCTGGGTGGAGCTGGTTTTTCAAGAGAACTTGCACCAGACATTTTTTTGGCACACAATGTCGTAAGCTGTTTAACCAACAGGTTTAAATGTTGTTTCTCCGGTTCAATTGATTTCTTGCATATTTTGCATTGATTAAATCTGAAAATACAAAATTATTATTGTTATTGCGTGTTTATATTCTGAATTTGGTTTTGGAATGCATAATCGAATTAATTATGAGTATTAACCTCAAACTGTTATCCACTGTCCATTTAGTAACGATACTAATGCAGAATTGAAAGTTTCTAGTGTCTTGATTACATTGTTAAACATTATACTAAACAGAATTGTATTCAAAACAGCATCGGAGAGGAGGATCCGACAGATTCTTCAAACGTCAGTTCGCGATCGAGTCAGATATGATAGTTACTAGCCTTAAATTAATATTAAATACAGGAGATGGTAATATCATGGGGGCGGCATTTGTATCCTCCTTTAATATCAGCAGATAAGCATTTCTGAAACATGGATATTTCTGTAGGTTGACTGAACCTTGGAAAATGACATTTGTATTTCCAACTTTTGATAGCCTAGTGGGTTTTTTTTTTTATTATTCAAATCCGTCCGTACCTGGTAAAAAAACTGCATGCATTGAATTTACCAATCAGGTTCATTTGAAACAGGAGTATCTCCGACATGAGGTATCAAAGAAAAAAAGAAAAGTCTATTTGACAATTCCTCATCTTTTTCCTGACTAATATACTTTGCAGAGGCAACGATTTACGAAACACGGCCACATCCACATGGTATCTTAGTAACTTTTAATGACCCACATCTATAACAGTTTAGGACATTATTTTTTCGACGCTTTTACTATTGCTGAGTGGCATTTGAATTTCAAGAGAACTCGAGAGAATAACTATGTATCTTAGTGAATTAATTTACACTTCAATTGCATTTGCATTATGTTCATGATACTGTATGATGTCGGGGGACACTATAAAAAGACCTTATTAACAAATATAATTAATTATTAAATTTATTTACAAGATGTATGTTCAATTATAATAGAGACTAAGTACAATTATAATACAATGAACGAATTATTCATATCCGTCGTCGATACCTCTTGAAATGCCTTGTACATTAATTTTGCTAATCAAGTTTATGGCAATCAGGAATATTTCTCACATGAGGTAGCAAATAAGAGAGGAAAAGTCTATCTGCCAATTCCTCATTTACTTCTGAACTAATATACTTTTCCGAGGCAACAACATATGTAACACTGCCACCTGGTATCTTAGTGACATTTAATGACCCACATCTTTGACAATATAGAGCATAATTTTTTTCGACATGTTTACTACTGCTGGGTGGAGCTGGTTTTTCAAGAGAACTTGCACCAGACATTTTTTTGGCACACAATGTCGTAAGCTGTTTAACCAACAGTTTTAAATGTTGTTTCTCCGGTTCAATTGATTTCTTGCATATTTTGCATTGATTAAATCTGAAAATACAAAATTATTATTGTTATTGCGTGTTTATATTCTGAATTTGGTTTTGGAATGCATAATCGAATTAATTATGAGTATTAACCTCAAACTGTTGTCCACTGTCCATTTACGTAACGATACTAATGCAGAATTGAAAGTTTCTAGTGTCTTGATTACATTGTTAATCATTATACTAAACAGAATTGTATTCAAAACAGCATCGGGGAGGAGGATCCGACAGATTCTTCAAACGTCAGTTCGCGATCGAGTCAGATATGATAGTTACTAGCCTTAAATTAATATTAAATACAGGAGATGGTAATATCATGGGGGCGGCATTTGTATCCTCCTTTAATATCAGCAGATAAGCATTTCTGAAACGTGGATATTTCTGTATGTTGACTGAACCTTGGAAAATGACATTTGTATTTCCAACTTTTGATAGTGTGTTTTTATCGAT